GTCTCCTCTCGTAGGGTGTTTTGTGTAACGTCGCCTGGTGTTGTGTTGTTGTGGCGATTTGAACGGGATGGTTCGATATGAGAAATGCTGGTTGAGTGCTCTGAGAATGCTTGAAGGTGGCGTCGTCTGGTAAGCTGTGATGTTTTGTGAACGGTCGAGAGTCTTGGGTCGCGTCGGGGGATAAGCTGTATGTTGTTGTCGTGATGTGAACGGGCTGGCTATATATAAGAAAGGATGGTAGGGTGCTCTGGGAATGGTTAAGGGAAGCGCCGCCTGGTAAGCTGCGATGTGTTGTTGTCGTGATTTGAGTGGGCTGGCTCTATAGAAGAAAGGCTGGTATAGGGTTTTCTGTGACGTCGCGTGGTAAGCTCTGATGTGTTGTTGTCGTGATTAGAACGGGATTGCGCTATGTAAGAAAGGCTGGTGGAGAGTTTTGGGTGACGTCGTCTGATAAGTTGTGGTGTGTTGTTGTCGTGGTTTGAACAAACTTGGTCTATATAAGAAAGGCTGGTATAGGGTTTTCTGTGACGTCGCCTGGTAAGCTGTGATGTGTTGTTGACGTGATTTTAACGGACTGGCTCTATTTAAGGATTGATGGTTTAAAATAAATAATAGGGAAGTAATAGTGGGAACAGACGGTAAGTCCCCTTTCACATGAGTAAAGTCTTGAAAGCATTTTTTTTTCATTCCATTTTGTATTTTCAATTTGCTTTCATATGCATCAATATTTATTGAATTCAAGTTTTTCTTGACGAATGACGAAATTTTGAGGAAGCAGGATTATTTGATTCAATAAATTAATCAATTAATTTAGGTCTAATAATCTTTATAAATGTATTTATATTTATATTTCTTAATGAAAATTACGCGCTCTTTTTAACATCGAAATGAGAAGAAATGAGTAAAAATTTCAAACATTAGGAAAGTGTCAAAAGCAAGGTAAGAAAAATTAAGACTTTGCTGTTCCCAGGTATCTGTATAACTCCCCTTTCTTCTCACTTCCCTCGTCTACAAACTAGCAGACTTGAAAGCAACGCGTGTGAAAGTGGAGTAGCAATAATTATCTACATTGGTATAAGCCCACGTTTAAACAATAACACAATTTATTTGTATCCTTTCTTGAAACTAACAATAATCTCAAAAATCTTAATGCTAATTCTTATACCTGGAACAAGTTAACCATTACCGCTGTATAAGTAAACAAAGTAAGCAAAGTACAATAAATTACGAATATAACTTAGATTTATCAAAGAATGTGTTTATATAGATATCATTAGGGATACAAAACACTCATGTTTAAAATTTAACAAAATATATATCATAAAGGATAATTTGAGGTAAATTATAATATTACACAGTTCAAACGTAAATCTTTTCTCTTTAATCGCTTAAGGTAGTTCTGAAAGTTTGGGTGCTTAGATAACCTTAATGAGTAATTTTTAAGCAGGTTCTATATTTGCTCGGTGACGGTTTTAATCCCAAGATCGTTGTGAATTGTGGAGTTTTTGACATACCATGGGGCTTTGCATATTTATCTTACGGTTTTAGACTGCAGTCTTTGAATTCTAGCTGAGCTAGATTTAAATGCTGAGCCCCAAATCTGGATTCCGTACGTCCAAAATGGTTTTATAAGTATATTAAAAAGTAAAACTTTGTTTTCTAGGCTCAGATTGGACTTAGAGCCTACAATCCAATACAAGTTCGCAATTTTCAATTTGGTTTGAGTATTCTTTTGTCCATGTGGTTTTTCCAGGCGAGTCTTTTATCAAATGTAACTCCCAGGTAAATAATGAATTCTTCCTGAGGTATTATATTCCCATTTATAGAGATTGAAGGACATGTGTCTTTTTTTAGGTTTAATGTTACTTGTATACACTTAGACTCATTGACATTAATACTCATAGTTGTTAGCCACTCTTCTGTTACTTTGTTCTTGTAATCTGAAACTGACTGTCATGGGGTTTGAATGGGCACTAAGCATTGCTGTATCATCCGCAATAGTTGATGTGATTAGGTTTCAGTTTGTGGGAAGATCGTTCGTATAAATTAAATATAGGACGGGCCCTTAAATACTTCCTTGTGGAACATCATCAAATATTTCAAGGATTCAGTGGTGTATATTTTTTGCCTAACACGAAATTTTCTGCCAATAAGAAAGCTTTCTGAGACATAATAAATTTTTACGGGAAGCGTACATTTCAGATTGTATAATAGACCATCTAACCACACCTTATGAAATGCCTGAGCAACATTGAGGAACACTGCAGTACAATATTGCTTGTTTTCAAACGCTGATCTTATGTGTGCTACGAAGATTTTTGAGAATACCGTGATTAAGCTAATAGGACTGTAGGAGTCCAGCAAAGATGAACCTAGGGTTTAGGAAAACATAGAAGATGTTATTGATTTTAGAGGAATGAGCGATTTTAGATGCGTACTTCTGAATTTTCTGTATTTAAGCCAATTTGTAATTTATTTATCGGTTAAGCCTAGCTGTAAGTCATAGACAATTGGAATTATGTTAATGGAACATAGACAAGGCGAGTGATTAGATGATAAGTCAAAAATGGGTTTTACGCTTACTTTTGCTCTACTGATACCACAAGTTACTCCAAAGTCAGTCAAATCTGGGGTTTTGCTGAGATCAGTTGGCCAGTATGCTGGCTAACCGGTAAATATAACATTGAAATTGTTATTTTGAAGGGATTTATATAAATTTTTACCCTTTGGTGATATTGGCCTAGATTCCCAGAAGGTATGTTTTGCGTTGTAATCACCTGCTCCTGGAAACCGTTTACTTGGCTTAGAAAAGAAATCAATAAATCGAGTTTCTGTTATGTTGTATCGGGGGGGACAATCTATGGTGGAAATGTTTATTCCACCAGAATTATCATATATATGCACTGATGTAGAGTGAGGTAGTCTTTACAGGGTGTTTGGTGTCGTAAAACAAAAATGTATCAATATTGAAGCTGTTAAATTGGGTAAAATGAGTTTCGGAGATTAGCATTATATCTATTACTTGATTTTCTAAGAAGAGTTGAAGTTCATTTTTGTGTTGGACCAAGCCAAAGGCGATCCAATAACATGTATTTAACTTAACCTATAACTGGCGGTGTGATTTTCAATGCGGTTGCTACACTCGTGCGGTTGTTAGACTCGTGTAAATCTCCACAAATGACACATATACTTTGTAAAGCGCAATATCGTTTCATATGGCCAAATTCTTGACAATTATGACACTGAACAGGACCTGTTGGCTTATGTGGTTCTTCCACGGAAATACGACGGTGAAATCGATAATTGCTCATGTTGTCGTTTTCTCTTGTAGTTTTGACAATTTTGCTTTGATTTTGTTCACTATTTTTTTGGAGTGACTGTTTCCTTTTTACAAGAATGTAGCGATCGATTCCCGTTTGAATTACTGCTTTCTTTGCAGCGCTATTTGCGGAATAGTCTTGCGTTTCGACTGCAGAGGGAACTGGTAAAGTATTTCTACAAGGGGCTGCAAGAGCAGAAGTCTAATTATCCAATCGTTGTATTCGCTGTTGGTGTTGTTGTTGTGGTGCTTGTTGCTGCTGTTGGCATTGGTTAACATTTCCACGTTGTGGCGACGTGGCCAATTTAGTCTCAGAAAATACCAGGGGATTTTGCAACACAGCTTTTTGGCAACTCTAATTTGGAAACGGCACAAGCAAAAGCGAATTTCCCCTGCATTCTTTTAGGCGCTTTTCTTTGATGCTAGAGGTTTTTATATTTGCGTTATTTTTATTAGGTATTTGTCTCTGTTCAATTAGCGTGAGCTATTTGTTTATAATTTTTCAGTTTATTTGTTTTTATTTCTATTACTTAGTTTTGATGGAGCGCCAATCTATGCGAATAACACAATTTGTTATATAAAAGGTTTCACTTTCACTTCACTTTGTTTCAGGGGACTTGCCTGAATTAATTTATAATATATAGTTTGCACAAAATATTTTATTTAAAAATTGAAAATAAATATAGAGCATAGTTACTTTCACTTCGCACTTTCAAGAGTTGCCAACGTAAAAACACAAAAAAAAAACGCAAAGAAAAAAAACACCTTTATGACATAAATTTTGGTGTTATTTTAACTCTTTTACTTTTATTTTGCTTTGCCTTAGAAAATTAATGAAGTGTAAGCTAATACATTCTTGGAGCACATTGTAAAGACTTCGATGATTTCACAAAACCTTCGAGTTCGATCATTAGATTGTAAAAAAAAGACACCAAATTTGTTGTAAAATTTTTTAATTGTAAAGAGCTTAATAAATCACAATCTGCTACACACGACGACTTATTTTATCCCACTGCGAGTTCGGGGCTCAAGAATTTACCTGCGGTAGGGCATGCCTGTCGCAAGAGGCGACTAAAATCCAATAGTTCCCGCGACAGTAGGGTCTTTATACCGGAAGGACCCGGATTTTTATCCGGCCAAGAACTGTCACACTCAATTACAACAACAACAACAACAACACGACTTATTTTACACTTTCAAACTCCTATTTGCATCGATGTTATCACCAATGAACTTACTTTGTAACTTAGTAACTGCTGTGATCTCTTATAGACCTCAGCGACCGTTCGTGCTAAGCTCTGAAAATTTGTTACTCTATAACCGCGATCTAGAATGTACTTTAGTTGGTGTTGTTGTTATTTTTGTTGAAGCGGCTTCGTTAACCCCGCTTAGGGACAGGTTAATTACACCGAGGAAGTGTAACGGAAAACGAAAGAGATTTTTTTGATCTACAATCAAATCAAATTAATCAAAGAACCTCTAAATCTAAATTTTCGAGTTCGTTCAGTGTATCCTCAAAGAATATAATATAATAATTAATATACGTTTTGGGTTTAATTTTACGAAAATAGTTGTAATATTTTTCTATGTAAACGTTTTTTTATTGAATGTGTGTTTGTTCACCTAAATTAACATCTTTTTTGTTGCGATGTGGCAAGGCTATTTATTTGTAACCTGACGCCGAAAGGTGGCTCCTTTGTTATATACTGCATGTTTTTTTGCATTGATGAGAATATTTGTAAAATTTGCTTATTTTGTTTTACTTAAACTAAATTAAAGAATATTCTCGGATTAGTGTTCAAAAATGTCGCAGGTATCTAATAAATCTGGTACTGGATGGCCAAGAAGAAGTAGCCAAGGGCAAGTGGATGGAAATATTAACAACGGCATACAGAAGTACTCTACTGGACAATGCTTGGCCATAAACAGGACAATTAATTTGTGAGTATTTAATGGTTTTCTTAATTAGATCAATATGAAAGTAACTAGTAAATAAATTATTTCCCAAACATAAATCACTTGCAAGGAAAATAACTTAGATTATAGATTGTTATGGTAAGATTAAAAATAATTATATTTTCTAGGTGGACTTATACATTTAATAATATTCGCAAACATTAACTAGTATTATTTTTTAACCAGGCTGTGTACTAGAAAAGTAGCCAAATATGGAGGTACCATTCGAAATTAATTCTCATTTGAGGGGACCGGCTTTATCGGTGTACAACACAGATACATATGTATTTTGTACTCATTAAATAGGAAAATCTTAACACTTACGAAATAACTGGAATCGTTAAGATGTAATTAACTCAAATGCTTTACCTTCTAAGTGGATATCGTTATGGTTAAATAAAGTAAACCCCGATCAAGAAAGGCAGTGAAACGCTCAATATGCTCGAAAATTTTTTTAAATTTGTTTGTGTGTGTTGAAGGGGAATTGAGAATTGACTGGAAATAACATTTTTTTCCGGGAAGTGAACTTGGGAACCGAATCCCTTTTAATTCGATGAAAGAACCGATCGTACCATGGTTGAGTGGTGATTTGAGTATGACGTTGCTGTTATGCTATTAAGCGGTTCCTAATTATTTTTCGTGTTTAACATTATTGTGTCGAGTTCCTGAGTAGAACCGTTCGACTTACTTAAAGGACTTTAGTAGCGCAAACTACTAATATTTGATTATTCGTATCTGACATACCCTTTGGTAAACATGCACAAAATATCTCATCCGCTTTAACCCTAAACCAACCGAGACCTCATATATTCCTATTCATATCTAAGTGGATCAAACCAGCTAAACCAGAGAACTTAAAATAACGAGAAGGTGCAAATTCGTTGCAACATCGAACTTGCTTCAAACATTTTCTGAAAAACTTTGGGAAAGGGATTCACCACACCGCTCTCTGCTAAACCTTGCGGTGTAGGGGCTTAAGAATTTTCCCTCGGTAAGGAACAATCGATTAAAATCTCAAAGTTCCCGCGACGGCGGGTCTTTGTAGTTGAACGACCCGCATTTTTATCCTGCCAAAGGCTGTCAAAAACAATGGCTAAAACAATGAAAACCCCTCTTAAAAATGATATATGTATGTATGACTATGTTTGGCAAAAAATAAATCAATTAGACTATTTTTATACATAAGTAAAGCATTTTTTAATAACGCTTTAACTAGTTTATATATTAAGTTTAAAATCAAATACAAGAGATGGAAATTAAATATCCTTTCATTCAAATTTAGGAAATAATAAATAAATTACCAACTTCATTTATATTCGCAGCAAATTTTACTTAGACCAATAGCCCTTCACCTTCTCAAATGATCGAACTATTTCGTGTGCCTTAAAAAAGCTACGAAATTTCGCAATATTCGTTTATAATGCTAACTCAACGAGCCGGTCGAAAAAATGTTTTCTAAGGAACTTTTGACGCGCAGATGTCAAGGCTGGCAGAGATAGTTTTAATGGTCTCCTCCACATCTTCGCCCCTACAGCTGCGACCCATTTTTCCCAGTAAAGCCCCATTAAACAGTGTCCAGCTATTATTCCGGTCGTTATGTTGATGGAGAACCGGTCTAGAAGGATAAGATGTTTCTCGCTCAACCATCTTGAGTCAGCTTCCCTGGTTAACAAACATAGAACAAAGATTTCTAGCGGTTCACATTTTCGTATCCATTTGACCAATTTTTTATTTTTTGTACTCGAGAAGTTAAGCCTGAAATTGTTGACATTTTCTTTGTGTTTAATTTTTATTAGGCATCAGAGCCCTTAAAAATATTATAAACTGTAGTTTGATCAGGTATTGAGCATGATTTAATTTTCTATTGTGTTATTGGCCGAAATTTTAGTACATTAGCCCACTAATCAATTTCACTACTTGAACTCGATAATAGTTTTTCTCTTTCTGTCCTCTTCGTACATTAAAAACATATTTGTTCTTGATGTACATATATTATGGCTGTACATATATTTTAATAAAAGCAGGAAATTGAAATGGGGATGTCATAATCTTATTTTCAAAATATTCTGTTGAAAGTTTAAAACAGGTCATATGGCACATCTCGGTAAGTTTGTGTTATTATGCAAACGCCAAACATTGTTATATAATTATAAATATGTAGATAGACAATAATATAATAATAGTTGAAGCTTTATTCTGATTATTTATCATATCTTAAATATTTAACGTGAACAAAATATTGAAACCACAACAACGTGAAGCTGGGTCGTCTGGTTTATATATATGTATATATAATTCTTAATTGCATTTTCAGATATCCTTTAACAAATTACACATTCGGAACGAAAGAACCGTTGTTTGAAAAGGATCCGTCAGTACCTTCCCGATTTCAGAGGATGCGAGAAGAATTTGACCGAATTGGTATGAGACGCTCAGTTGAAGGAGTTCTGCTTGTGCATGAACATGGTTTGCCACATGTTTTACTTCTTCAGTTGGGCACAACATTTTTTAAACTACCCGGCGGAGAACTTAATGCGGGTGAAGATGAAGTGGAAGGACTTAAAAGGCTCTTAACTGAAGTTAGTAAAATATCTTTAGTAAATACGATATTTTATTATAAACGTGTATGTTTCAAAGTAGTAATATTCATAATACTTTCTCTAGCAACCTTAAATAATGAAACTAAAATTCAAATAATTCTGGCTTATATTATATATTAACAAAACAAAGTGGCCCGAAAATTGGTGATACTTTAGAAATTTAAGAATACAAATATATTTCTACTATCACAATTCTTAATATAAAATGTATAATTCCAAATGAAATACTTATTATTTTGCAGACCTTGGGACGGCAAGACGGAGTAAAACAAGAATGGATTGTAGAAGACACAATTGGAAATTGGTGGCGGCCTAATTTTGAACCACCTCAATATCCATACATTCCGCCTCATATCACGAAGCCTAAAGAACACAAGAGATTGTTTTTAGTGCAGTTACATGAAAAGGGTAAATCATAGTTATGCTTTTACATTTTGTTTTATGAAATACATTTAGTATTATTAATTATTACATTTTCATTTCATTAAAATATTAATTATATACTACAATAAAAATATAATTACATTCTAATATTTATCTTCGTTGACTCAGCTTTGTTTGCCGTTCCAAAAAATTATAAACTCGTAGCGGCGCCTTTATTTGAACTCTATGACAATTCTCAGGGGTATGGCCCAATTATATCATCCCTTCCACAGGCCTTATGCAGGTAAATATTTTTAAATTAAAGCTAAAAATGCCTATACTTATTTAGCTGTTTTTTTAATTTTCAGATTTAATTTTATTTATATGTGAAGGATCGACGAGTTTTTCGTGACATCGCAATAATAGTCAATCTAAACAAATCCAGATTGGTTTTAAACACATTTTAATGTCTTTATTTAATACGTTTCTATTTAGATGAACTTAAACAGCATTAAATACATCGTGGTATAAACCCAAAATTACTGGATTGATTATTTTGATTTTACTCTGTATATTTTATGTAATTGTATATACTTGTAATTAGTTTTTGCTAGAAACACTGCCACTGCGATTTTCTTTCTATTCCCGAGTAATTTCGTATTTATTAAAAAATTGATTATGGTTTTGCATAATATTAAAAGGTTTTTGATTCATCTCCCTTGTCGTATTCGACATAACGGATATTAATCCAAAGATGTTAAAAAGGGAATAAAAAAACTGTAATTGTAATAGTTACAAACTTTATATAGTTATATGTATTTATTTAATAGTTATTTATTGCATCTGTTTTTTATTTATTATAGAACGTTATGACCTTAATTTCGTAGCTTGTTTATGAAGAACACAATATTCTATTTCTTTGTAGAAGGTATTTTAACTAGCTTTATAATGCCATTATTTATAAAGTTCTATTCATTTAATATAACCAACTAGTTTGATTGGTTTTTATATGACAGCAGAAACCAACCGAAATTTTTGCATTACAAATACTAGTCGTCGATGTAATCGGGGTTGAGTCGTCAAGGCGGGGGCGCTATTCGTAGTTCATTGCTCGAAAATTTTGTTTCATGCAAAAAAGAAAAAGATATTAACTTATGGTAATGAATAAATAACCGCTCTTTAAAGTAGATGTTTCAGCGTCGTTGGAGCGTCGAGCCAATGAGAATGGCGGGAGAAATTCCCGGGAAGTTTCTATTAATCATACACACAATTATTTCAAAAGATAATTTAGACAAAATATATTAATAATAGTGTGTTAGATAGTGGGACTATTGCTGATTACAATTTTTACTATCTATTTGTTTTAATACATTTTAGTGTTATTAAATACACTTGAGTCATTTTATTTTTTCCAACGGAAGTGTAATGTAAATAATAAATGTAAGGCTCATACTTGACTTGAAATTTTCGTATTTGATTAGTTGCAGCGTGTGTATGCAGTTATCCAAAAAAATGTTTTTACTTAGTCTAGAGAAATGAATTAATTCGTTTACTGCTAAGCTCTTTAAACAATATAATTGTTAGAGTGTATAGTACAATTTATGTGAATTAAAAAAAAAAAAAAGATTTTGGAATGCTTAATGTTCTGAAAGCATATAAAAATGATTTTCGGATATTTTTTCTTTTTATTTAAAATAAAAAATGGTGTCTTGTGAATCGGCAATATATTTTTATAAATCCGCTTCATACACGCTTAGCTATATACATATATTAAAATGGATATATATATGTCTATACTTAGGTTTAGGATTTTTTTATTAATAATAAGTACTAAGTATTTCCACCATAAAAGTAAATATAAGGTTCAAGCTGGCTGTTGTGAAAATACTGAGCTAAGTCCAATAGCTAAGCTAGGCAGTTTTGAAAATCCCAATGGTCACTTGATAATTTTTTTTTTTTTTGAAACTTAGATTGTGCATTTTTTGATTCGGACTGATACAATATATTTTAAATTCATTTAATAAAAAAAGTAAAAAAAAAGAACGAACTTAAGGAGAAAATTTAAAATGTTAGCAGACACCAGTTTTTCCAACAATCATAGAAATTTTTTACGTAGAAAGCACTAAAATTAACAAATATTTTCAATTCTTAAAAATTCAAATTCCATTGTAGAAAATAATATAAATTTAAATTATTATGTTTTCAGTAATTTTAGCAATTTATTAAATGAGCTATTGTGTACCTAAAAAATACGCCATATTGGCCGTTTATACCTAAATCGAACACATAAATCACAAATTGCCATACATTTGTCTATTTACAATACGTTCAGAACGAAACGTTTTTGCATTAAGAATATTGTAGTATAAAATGATCACATGTTTCATGACAGATGTAGGAAAAAAATATTTTGTATTTTACCTTATTGATAGTATTTATTAATAAGATTTTATTAGTAAGATATTAAAAAAAATTACATTTGAAGTTATTGATGTTTCAATATGAAGGATACAATTCTAGATCTTTTTTCACTTGCCTGCAACACTTCAATTCAGATTTCGTTAGCGGCTTTGTTTTTAAAATATTGGAAAAAAAATTATTTCACATATTAGGAGCTAAAAAATGAATTGCGTTTTCAGTGGCCATTAAATCTTACCTTTAACTATCTTTAAATAGATAAACAACATTGTGGATTGCATATACATTTAGAAAAAAATTACGATATTTACTTACATATGTACATATATATTTACAGCATTATATGAGGCCTAAGTAATTTTTAGCTAATATTTTTTTTTTTTTTTTAACATGGTATTCCTTAATCAGACAAAATATTTTACAAATTCAAGTTTTTGGAAACGAAATTCGATATTCATTATTCGAATATACAATATTAGTGCACGAGTTTAGCATTTCGACCAAAAAGGTATTTTTGTTTTATTTTATATTCTTAGGAATATTAACAAAGTTTCAAATTCATTGAAATGCTAAAAAAAATTTTGGGGAAATAAAATTTTGATACAAATGTAGGAGAAATGAATTCGTTATGAAATACTTGGATTGCATGATTCAATATTTAAAGGTTGGATAAGTTAACAGTTTTTCGCTCCCTAGAGTCAAAAAGGAGGACTCCCTTACTGAAAAACCGTAATTCTTTGTAAAAAAAGGCATTTTTTTTTTTGGAACGAATTTATAAAAAGTAGCTAAATACTTAATTTTTTTATGAAAACATTTGGTAGACATCACATTCTTTTTTCTAATTTGTTGAATCAATATTTATACAACCATTTAATTATTTATTTTTTCTTATTGTGGAATATGCGAATCGTACACACGTTAAAGATGGTAGTTAATTGTGATTTAAAATGACTTTTGCAGATAAATGGATTTCATCAGTTATTCATCGCCATGTTTGAATAGCTCTGCCGGTGGGCCGTAAGCTCCATCCGCTTTATTGTTCTTTAAGTGCGCAATTGCTATTCGAACCTCAACATAATCGGGTAGTGTAACGACTTTTGTATCGTCATCGATTGGGTTTTATTTTTACTACCACTCAGCACGCTGTAGAACTGTTCCCTCCATAGATTCAGTATACTCTCTGGCAACCGTCATTAGTTCACCTCTCTGGGTCCTATAAGAGTTTCCTCTCGGTTCGCTTTTCAGCTCTCGGTATCTATCCTACCATGCAAATGTTGTGGTCTACTACTGCTCGGCAGTCCACATCGTACCAGCAGCAGCTATACCGACTTGTTAATCAGTGGTCTCTGAGAGCAGGAGTGCAAGTCGAATAGAAGACCGTTCTGCTGTCTGTTGTGATTACAGCTTTTTGACTTCGAACCTTATCTGTCCATCGTACTTGTTGGACGGCGTTGATGTCAACCTTGAGCAGAGAACAAGCCACAGCTCAAAAAAATCAGAAGTCGAAGAAATTTCTGTACCCGTTACGCACAAACATACTCTCGATAAGGCGAACAAATGTATTGCAATTCAAAAATTAATGTTCCCTAAATGCCCTCAAACCATAAAATATAATTTGAATTCATATCTAAAAGATGTTGGAAATATGAAATCCATTCAAAATGCAGTATAATTTGGCAAAACTACACACTACAAACTTTCAATAACATAAACTAATGAGCATAATCCTTTGAAGTAATGTACGCATTGTTCGCATGCACGCGCGCGCACTGTGAAAATAAGCGAAGTCGATTGTGGACGAAGTGCGCGAGGGGAGAACAATTCTTTCGTATATTTAACTGAATAAGAAGAAGAAAAACTATTGGTCTATTTCTTTGCTTCGGTATAAGTGCAGAATATGCCAACAAAAGTGTATATTGTGCTGTGGCGCAGTTGGTAGCAAAGCTACTTACATTTTTGGCATTTTTTCTTCTGACGCAAATTCAAATTCCTATCAAATTAGCCAATATCATTTATTCCAAATAATTAATTTTTATTCATTTAATTTTTTTGTAATAATAAAAAATCGTAATGTAATGAACAAAATTAAAAAAATTTAATTTATATAATATATTTTCGTTTTTTTAAATATTAGTACTTTCTTTTTCTTTATTTTATTTTAACTAAATAATAGCAAAACACCATACGAAAAAGAAAAAAATTAATGAATCAATTGATTTTCATTGAATTTATTATATTTCTATTGGTTTTACTTCTGTTGTCGTCAATAACAGTTTTTCTTTATGCTAAACTGTCAAATCTGTTAGTTTACAGCCAAATTTTAACAGAGTGGTGAATCCCTTTCCCGAGATTTTCTAGCTCTGTAGAAACTTCAATCGAGCATCGAACAAAAAGTCAATTGCACCTTCTCGTTATTTCAAGTTCTCTGCTTGAGTTTAGCAAGGACATCAACCAGTTGGGTAGCGCCTTAAATCACTCAAATAATTTTTTGTTTTTGCTATATATACGAATTATTCTAATTTAACCAATTAAAAGTAATTTTACTGTTAATAATCTTATAATTTTACACATGCATTCATTTTTAAAGTACAGATAGATTTTCATATTAATTTTGCATATGATTTAGAAAATACTCGCATAGATATATTATTTTAATTTCGAAGGTGTTAAATTCGTTTTTAAAAATGAATGAAATGCCATGTAAAAAACCTAATATTTCTCTTTCTTTCTTTTAAAAAGGCATTAACCCTATTTTTTTTTAATGGAACAAATTTTCTCCCCATTTTTACTACTTTCTAAAATACAACCGTTTGTAGGGGAATATTAAAACCCCCTTGTAACTACTTATCCAACCTTTAGTTATTGAATCATGGAATATCGTCTACGTCTTCGCTGACGATCGTCAATGCTCATCGTCGCTTTCATCGATTGGCCTTTGTTTAGGTATGCTGCACAAGCAATACCATTGAGAAAACGCGGAAAAGCTGTGCACGGGAAATAATCTGTTTTGGGAAATTTATTTTTGAAATTATGATTTTCAGTTTATTCTTATATTTTTGACATTCAAATCATATATCAAGCGGTGAAGTTTACTTAAATCAATAAAATAAGTTTTAATTAAAAAAATGGAATAATAGTTGTACTTTTTAATCTCAAGTGGGGAAGAAGAGAACAAAAATGATTCAAAAGGAAGGAATGGGAAGGACCTCTCCGAGCCGTTCGATACCAAACGAGATTTCAGAAAGGGCGCCGAAGTGCCAAAATAGTCTGC